AGAGAGAGAGAGAGAGAGAGAGGTAGTCTGAAACTGGACAATGAAACTCGGAAAATAGTTTCGTGAAACTTTGTGGCTCGTTAAGCGACGTCCTCGTGTGTCGTAACACATTCCTATGCGTGTTCCAGTTCCGGGGACAATTCGACGATCGCCCTGAAACAACGATTAAAACTTTCACATCCCGATAATGGCGGACGACAGGATCATGAGCCCTTGCATAACGGGGGAAGGGCTGGGTGTTGTGTGTTTGCGATATGCGTTCACGTCTGTCCCGTGGCTTCACGGTCGTTATTAGACGAGTATTGTAGAGCATCGTTGGGCATTATACGGAGAAACTTCGAGAAAGAGGTTACGAGCTGAAAGGTTCGTTCGTTCGATTTCTACGCTCCTGATACATTCAACAGGATGGTTATCGTTGTCGCACCTTTTTTCTTTCATTTTTGAAAAGTTACGTTCGTTGCAAATTTTATAATTTAGAGATACGCTTAAAAGCTAATTTAATTTAAGCACGCATTTACGAGAAATCAAATACCGAAAAGAGAAAGGTTCCCCCCTCCTTCTTTATCTCTTGCGAGTAAATTCAAGATATTTTGTTACTCGTGGTTACGTTACTGCGCGAGAACGCGCGAACGAATTTTAAGTAAATTTATATGTAGGTCGCGCGTGTTATTTCAATTTTAAAATTGAAAAAGAATTAAATTTATATTTCATTCTCGCTGTTCGTTCGATGAAATCTACAAGGACGTTCCTTCGATTTATTCGCTGGCGTATTAAATTGGAATGGAGAAATTGAATTAATGCAATTATCTATTTGGAAAAGTCGGAAGGCACGAAGGAGGGCACGAAATGTCTTCGGGTGACAACTTAGAATAACACGTGGAACGTATGCGAAATTGAAAGAAACAAACTTACAGTTTGAACTACTTTCGAGAATCACTTTTTTCTAACAAAATGGCCAAAGCTGCGAGACAAGGAAAATAGAATTACTTCTTGCGTGTTCGACTGTGAACCGAGTGTACTTCCGTAAAATCGAATGAAGAGTCGCTTTCCGCGCCGGTGAAAAATGCTTAAACATTTTCCAAGAAGTGCAACAAAGATTTCCCGCGATTTTGAAATCGTGCACCGCGTTAATCCGGCCGATTTTTTTCTTCGGCAGCAAATCGTGTTAATTGTAAGATGTATGCTGAAAACTGATTCGTTGAATGAAACCGCGACGAATCATTGGAGAGTGATTAACGTCTTTGCTGTTAATTACGCTAAAATGGATAGTGTGCGACTTGCACGAAATTTCAATTCGATGTTTACTTGAGCAAATTATTTAAGAATTGTAAACGTTCGACTCTACTGAGC